TGGAGTGCAATGGCATGATCTTGGCTCACTACAATCTCAGCTTCCCAGGTTCAACTGATTCTCTGCCTCAGCTTCCCAAGTAGCTGGGACTACAGGCGTGTGGCACCATGCCTGGCTACTTTTTGTATTTTTAGTAGAGACAGGGTTTTACCAGATTGGACAGGCTGGTCTGGAACTCCTGACCTCAAGTAATCCACCCACCTCAGCCTCCCAAAGTGCTCAGATCACAAGCATGAGCCACCACGCCCAAAAGAGTGTGTAGAATTTAGAGACGAATTGATTATCTGCCTTACTAGTCTATAAAAATATGCTATATGGAAAAACTTAAGTTCCATAGGAAAACGGACCCTAAATTAAGCATATGTGTTCTACATTGAATTCCCTTTTCAGTACTCTCAGTTTTTTAAACTCATTTTGGGGATGACCCTGTTTTTTAAGGAATTAAAGAAATAAATATTAAAGTACTTAACCTTTAACATTTAGAAACACAATAATTTAATATTAAACTATTGATCGAATAATTTATTTGAATTTATTTTAAAGTTTGAGGAATGTAAAATATTGGTATTAGGCAGGGTATAGTGGCTCATGCCTATATATCCCAGTACATTAGGAGACTGAGGCCAGCAGATCACTTGAGCCCAGGAGTTTGAGACCATCCTGCACAACACGGTAAAACCCATCTGTACAAAAAATAGAAAAGTGAGCTGTGGACCAGGCGTAGTGGCTCATGCCTGTAATCCCAACAGTTTGGGAGGCCAAGGCAGGTGGATCACTTGAGATCAGGAGTACAAGACCAGCCTGGCCAGCATGGTGAAACCCTGTCTCTACCAAAAATACAAAAAAGTTAGTGGGGAGTGGTGGTAGGTGCTGGTAATCCCAGCTACTTGGAAGGCTGAGGCAGGTGAATTGCTTGAACCCAGGAGGCAGAGGTTGCAGTGAGCCAAGATGGTGCCATTGCACTCCAGCCTGGGCAACAAGAATAAAACTCTGTCTCAAGAAAAAAAAAATTAGCTGTGCACAGTAGCATGTGTCTGTAGTCCCAGCTACTCGGGAGGCTGAGGCAAGAGAATAGCTTGACACTGGAAAGGGAGGGTGCAGTGAGCCAAGATGGTGCCATTATACTCCAGGCTGAATGATGGGAGTAAAACCCTGTTTCAAAAATAAAATAAAATAAAACAGAACATTGTTATTAAATATTTAATATTAAATTATTGATTATATTAATAATGTTTTCTTCCAGGGTTTTTATAGTTTGAGGTCTTACACTCAAAGTTTTAATCAATTGCGAGTTAATTTTTATATATGGTGAAAGGTAGGGGTCCAGTTTCAGTCTTCTGAGTGTGGCTAGCCAGCTATCCCTGTAACAGTTTTTGAATAAGGAGTCCTTTACCCATTGCTTTTGTCAATTTTCTCGAAGATCGTTCGGGACATCAGCCTAGGGAAATAATTTACAGGTAAGTCCTCAAAAGCAATTTCAACAAAAACAAAAGTAGACAAATGGGACCTAGTCACAGTAAAGAGCTTCTGCACAGCAAAAGAAATTATCAACACAGTAAACAGACAAGCAATTTCAACAAAAACAGAAATTGACAAATGGGACCTAGTTATAATAAAGATCTTCTTCACAGCAAAAGAAACTATCAACAGAGTAAACAGGCAATCTACAGAATGGGAGAAAATATTTGCCAACTATCCATCTGATAAAGGACTTATTTCCAAAATCAATAAGAAACTTAAGTAAATCAACAAGCAAAAATCAAATAACCTTATTAAAAAGTGGGCAAAGAACATAAACAGGCACCTCTCAAAAATAGACATACAAGTATCCAACAAACATCTGAAAAAGTTCTCAACATCAGTAATTATCAGAGAAATGCAAATCAAAACCACAATGAGATACTGTCTCATGCCAGTGAGAACGGCTATTATAAAAAAGTCGAAACACTACAGATACTGGTGAGGCTGAAAGAAAAGGAACACTTACACACTGCTGGTGAGAAAGTAAATTACTTCAGCCTCTGTGGAAAGCAGTTTGGCGATTTCTCAAAGAACTTAAGACACAGCAATCCCATTACTCAGTGTATATCCAGAAGAAAATAAATCACTCTTTCAAAAGACACATATACTCATATGTTCATCGCAGCATTATTCACAATAGACAAGACATGGAGTCAACCTAGGTGCCCATCAACAGTGGAATGGATAAAGAAAACATGTTATGTATATACCTGGAATACTATTCAGCCATAAAAAAGAATTCATGTTCTTTGCAACAACATGGATGTAGCTGGAAGCCATAACTCTAGGTGAATTAGTGGAGGAGCAGAAAAACAAATACTGCAATTTCTTACTGATAACTGAAAGCTAAACATTGGGTGCCCTGAACATAAAAATTACAACAATAGATACTGGAGACTAATAGAACGAGGACGAAAGGAGGAGGGCAAGGGTTGGAAAACTAATTGTTGAGTACTATGCTCACTGTCTGGGTGATGAGATCATTCCTATCTCAAACCTCAGCATCAGGCAATATACTAATATAACAAACCTGAAAATGTATCCCCTGAGGCTAAAATAAAATTTAAATTTATTAAAAAATGAAGATTCTATTTTCTCAAAATATCATTAGCAATGTAATAAGACTTATTAACATTTAATCTTTTAATATTAAAATTCAAATATAAAATATTCCTTTATTTTGTCACTCATTCAATAAACATATATTGGGTACTATGTTGTAGGCACTTGGGATACCACAGTGAACAAAGAGATACAAAGTTTCATTGAGTTTTTATCCTAGTAAAAGAAGATGGATGACAAACAGAATGCATCAACAAACATATAAGTGTATAGCACTGATAAATCATATGAAGAGCAATAAAACAGAAAATGGTTATAAAGAGTTATGGAGAAGAGCTATTTTGTGTTGGAGAGACAAGGATGTGTATTTGAATAGAGACTGGAATGAAGTGCACCCTAACGGTCACTGAGGGAAGTCATTTCAAGCAGAAGGAATAGTAGGTGAAACAGACTTGAGTGGGGAAAATGTTTGTCATGTCCAGGAATAGGAAAATTTCTGACATGGTTTATTATGAGTTAAAGAGAGAAAGCTCACTAGACCACTAGGGATTAATAGCGGGGTATGGTGTATTTGGGCTAGACTGATGACTTTGAGCTTTATTCTGAGTGAGCCCCTGGAGGGCTTAGAACATGAGTGACATGATCTGACTTACCTTTAAAAGGCTTACTCTGCATATTGCAGGTTGGGGGCTGTGATAGGTGGACAGGCAATTTTAGAAGTAGGAAGACCCGTTAGAATAGTATTTCAACAATTATTGGGGAGATCATGTTGGGGCGGAACAGGATAATACATGCTTTGATGCTGGATATATTTTAAGTATGTCTCTGATGTATTAGAAGTAGACAGAAAAAGTTAAGGACCAGTCACAGGTTTTCGTCTTCAGCAATTGAAGGCTAGGAGGTGTGATTTTCTACGATAAAGAAAACCAGGGAGTGTATGGTGAGGAGGAGCTCAAAGGCAGTGTTTTAGTCATGCCAAGTTTCAGTTGCATGTTAACCAGCTAGAGATGTGGACTAGGTGGTGGATTCCTGCATTAAGTTGGTTTCCACTGATTCCAGTAGTCAGGATGCAGTTTGGTAAAAGGAGTTGTTTCTATTGTCCAGGGATCATATGTTTCCTAACCAAAATAAGTACACATACTTACTCCATCTCCGAGTTCGCATGACATCTGGAAGAGCTAAAGAGACCTTCTATTTATGCTTCTCAGTTGTTTATCTTATTGTAATTAATTAAGATTAGCCTAAGTTCCTGAACATAGTAACAATAATACTAACCATGACCATCAATTGACTTTTTCAATCTGTGCCAAACACTCTTCTAAGTATTTTATAAGATTACAGTCCTTGCCACATGCATATTTTTTCAAATGTACCAAACATATAACTGAGGCTTTAAAATGTCAAAAATTTGTTCATAGTTACACGGATGGTAGGTTTGCATAATTCCAAATTCTGTGTTCTTAAAGAGCATTTGCAATCATACTATAGTTTTTGACACAAATTATTTCTCCCATTTATGTAAATTTTTCCCTGCCAAAAACCACAGTGAAGCAATATAGTGAGGGAAGCCATTTTAATCAAAGTAACTGAACAAACCCTAGTTATTTCTACCACCAGGAAAATATTTCTGTTATTTTTGTGCTCACTCTTCCTGAGCAGACATTGCGGACCTCCACATGTTGAAATATTAATAGTACTCTCCTGCTCTGGTCTAAGACATTCTGGCTTCCACTGACTCCCCTATCCTGTATATAATACCTATATGCATGTAAAAATAGTATTCATTCTTTCCCTTGGCTCAAAGGCCAATATATCAGTAAGTTTTAATTTACTTTGCAAAACTCTACCATATTAACATGAAGAGCACACTAATGCTTAACGTTTAAGCATTAAAAATATAACTTTTGACATGTATATATGAGCATGTAGATTTCATCAAATATAAATGTATGTATGTAATCTCTTTTATATATATGTTTTTACTCATAAACACATTCTCCTTTAAATATTTTCTGTATTAGAGAAAGCTTTTCATTTGAAACCACAAAGATTTTGTGATACTAAAATGGCCATTCGAATAGTGTTTTCTCATTTGATTGTGAGTAACTTGTCTGTGGAGACTCACATGCTTCAAAAAATTATCAAAGTCAAAACTTTAAAGGAGAATTTTAGCCTGAACACTTGAAGCAAAATATCATTATGGAATTGTCCAATTACTTCTCCAAATGTCCAAAAAGAAACCAAATAACATTAAGAGAACCAAAATGGTCTCTGTGTAGTCAAACTTTCTCAAAAGTGTCAATTGCCAAGTGGTGTCATAGAAAATAAAGTTTGGGCTGTTTTGTCAGCTTTAACTGTTCTTCTACCTTTTAGCAACTCTCCTAAAGGCTCCATTGATCTCTGTGTTTGTTTGACAGGTGCTGTCACCAGTGACTCTCCTTCTGAGGGTTTGGTTCATTATCCTGACCTTGACTTCCATTGGATTTCTTCTGGATCAAAGGCAAGAAGTAAAACTCTTGCACTGTTTTTACATTTACTCAATTCAAGAATTTTCCACAGAGTGGTAAACTACCAGCACATTAGATAACTTTATAGTGTAGTTTAAAAAATAAATACAAAACTTAGGTATTTGACTTTTCATTGTTTTTAGAGTGGATAACTATATTAGTTCTCCTAACCACTCATTTTTTAAATGAATGAAGTATGAAGATATGAACTCAGTGAAATGATTCACTCTTACTTTAAACCCTAGAAATTTAGTTGCCTAATATTTTATTAGCTGAAAATAAACTTTACCCTAACTCGTCAATGATCAAACTAAGCAGTACATTGATAAAGAACAGATTTTCCCTAAAAAGAGAGATGAGTGTCCTTTCTTAGTTTAATCCCTGTTTTCAAATAGCTTCAGGGGACATGCTCTTTAAATATATTAAAATACTCGGTATTTCTTGAGAGTAAAAGTTCATCTCTATATTAGTTACATCATGTACAAACATGAAGAGCATATGAAACGCTTATGCATATTAATGACATTTTATTTCAGACCCCAGGCAGCTATTATGGAAACTCTTCGTTGCTTGACGTTCCTAATGCTGTACAGATTTGGTCACCTGAAGCCTCTTGTCCCTTCCTTATCATCTGCTTTTGAGGTAGGACATTCATCTTAGGTAACCACCGGATGGTGTATACCTATTGCATATTTAATTTATTCATTCAACAATGTTTTCTCTACTTTACTTCTAACCAGTACTTGTGGGAAATTTTTACCTTTTTTTTTTTACTTACCAGTACTTGTTTGTTGTGTCATCTGAGCTAGTTAATATTGCTGAGCCACAGATTTTTGGTTTCTAAAGTTGGATACCATTAACCTCATAGAGTTGTTGGATATTACAATACATTACACAACCTTTATCAAGAAATCAGAGCATGTAATAGGTTCTCAAGAAGTGGAAGAAGTGATTTTACAAAAAATTTTTGGCGGAGACTCTGCCATTTAAGTTTTTTTATAAAGCTTTTGAAGTAAAAATTGTGATCAAGATTCCTTGTCAGTTACCTATGAAAAGTAATCATTCTACAGAAATAAAGTCACTGAAGTCAATGAGATTTTTCCACAACTGAAAAATACAATCTTCTGTGATGATTAATTCTTATCTTCCAAAAACCATATTAAACTTGTGGGAATATATTTATTGTTTAGAATCTAGACAACTGTTAAAGACATTATTTTCTCATCACTAAAGCATTAGTAGACAGTGTATTATGTTTTTAATTGAGAGTTATATTGCTTATCTTTGGTGCCAAGACACCTGCCAGCACCACCAGAATGTGCAACTATAACTTTATTTAAGCTTGAAATATAAATATGAAATCCCCCCTTTCTGGCATCAATGAAAAACCTAATATATACCCTTTCATTATTTAGTATTGATTACAAAGTGAAACAACTCCTTTGGAAGAAATTTGATGATATCTATCAAAATTGCAAATACACATATCCTTTAACCCAGCATTTCACTTTTAGGAATTTGTTCTACTGAAATGGTATGCTCACACATCTGTGATTTGGTGTATATGTGATATTATTCATTGTAGCATTACTTGTTATGACATAATATTAGCAACAATCTAATGATGTGAATAGAGGCATATTCAAAAATTAGTCATTAATAAAGTAATAAAATATGCATCTATAATAATAAAACAAGAAGCCCTTTAGTACCAGTAAGGAACAATCTTCACCATAAAACATGATACAGGATTTCATGTGAAGTAGTCTGCCATATGCTGCACATAACTATAAAAATAGGGAGAGGGAGATAAAGATATATAAATGTATAAATGTATTTTATTGTATTTATGTAAATATATCTAGGAAGTTAAACAAGAACCTAACATCTGCTCGTGGGAAGAAAAGGTGAATTTTGTGGTTAGAAGAAAGGAAGAGGAAGATTCTTTATTAAGTTAATATTCTTTGATATCAATAAAACTTCTAAACTTCTAAACCATAGAGGTATATTTACACATTATATATATTATGTGAATTTAATCCATGAAGCATACAATCTTAGTATCGGCATCTTGGATATCATCTAGCTTAATATATTCTGCAATATAGTTGATATGTGTACATTTGTTTTGTTTCTTGAAATTATAACCTAAAAGCAAAATAGAGAATCATAAATTATACATATTTAATAAAATTCAGAACTACACATGCCAAAAAAACACAAAATCAAAGAAAAAGGGCACTTTTAACAGCCTAGATGAGGGACGCATTCTAATTTAAGGCATGAAAGATAATAATTTTATTTAATAAGACTACTCTTAGGTTTGTGGTGATAGTTTATATTACACACTCCAGAAGCAAATAGAGAACTTCCTTACTTTAGCCAATGTTGTAAATGTGTGGGAATGTGTGCTTACAAAACATATTGCATTTAAGATTGTTTGATGATGAGATGGTGGCAGGAAATGTAGTATGTCCCACTTTTTTTTTTTTTTTTTTTTAATTTTCATTGGATTACAGGTTTTGGGGTACATGAGCAGAGCATGCAAGACAGTTGCGTAGGTACACACATGGCAGTGTGCTTTGCTTTTCTTCTCCCCTTCACCCACATTTGGCATTTCTCCCCAGGCTATCCCTCCCCACCTCCCCCTCCCACTGGCCCTCCCCTTTTCCCCCCAATAGACCCCAGTGTTTAGTACTCCCCTCCCTGTGTCCATGTGTTCTCATTTTTCATCACCCACCTATGAGTGAGAATATGCGGTGTTTCATTTTCTGTTCTTGTGTCAGTTTGCTGAGGATGATGTTTTCCAGATTCATCCATGTCCCTACAAACGACACGAACTCATCATTTCTGATTGCTGCATAATATTCCATGGTGTATATGTGCCACATTTTTCCAATCCAGTCTATTATCAATGGGCATTTGGGTTGATTCCAGGTCTTTGCTATTGTAAACAGTGCTGCAATGAACATTCGTGTACATGTGTCCTTATAGTAGAACGATTTATAGTCTTTTGGATATATACCCAGTAATGGGATTGCTGGGTCAAATGGAATTTCTATTTCTAAGGCCTTGAGGAATTGCCACACTGTCTTCCACAATGGTTGAACTAATTTACACTCCCACCAACAGTGTAAAAGTGTTCCTTTTTCTCCACATCCTCTCCAGCATCTGTTGTCTCCAGATTTTTTAATGATCGCCATTCTAACTGGCGTGAGATGGTATCTCAATGTGGTTTTGATTTGCATCTCTCTGATGACCAGTGATGATGAGCATTTTTTCATATGATTGTTGGCCTCATATATGTCTTCTTTCGTAAAGTATCTGTTCATATCCTTTGCCCACTTTTGAATGGGCTTGTTTGTTTTTTTCCTGTAAATCTGCTTGAGTTGTTTGTAAATTCTGGATATCAGCCCTTTGTCAGATGGGTAGACTGCGAAAATTTTTTCCCATTCTGTTGGTTGCCGATCCACTCTAGTGACTGTTTCTTTTGCCGTGCAGAAGCTGTGGAGTTTCATTAGGTCCCATTTGTCTATTTTGGCTTTTGTTGCCAATGCTTTTGGTGTTTTGTTCATGAAGTCCTTGCCTACTCCTATGTCCTGGATAGTTTTGCCTAGATTTCCTTCTAGGGTTTTTATGGTGCCAGGTCTTATGTTTAAGTCTTTAATCCATCTGGAGTTAATTTTAGTGTAAGGTGTCAGGAAGGGGTCCAGTTTCTGCTTTCTGCACATGGCTAGCCAGTTTTCCCAACACCATTTGTTAAACATGGAATCCTTGCCCCATTGCTTGTTTTTGTCAGGTTTATCAAAGATTGTATAGTTGTATGTATGTTGTGTTGCCTCCGGTGCCTCTGTTTTGTTCCATTGGTCTATATCTCTGTTTTGGTACCAGTACCATGCTGTTTTGATTACTGTAGCCTTGTAGTATAGTTTGAAATCCGGTAGTGTGATGCCCCCCGCTGTGTTCTTTTTGCTTAGAATTGACTTGGCTATGCGGGCTCTCTTTTGGTTCCATATGAAGTTCATGGTGGTTTTTTCCAGTTCTGTGAAGAAAGTCAATGGTAGCTTGATGGGGATAGCGTTGATTCTGTAAATTACTTTGGGCAGTATAGCCATTTTCACGATATTAATTCTTCCTAACCATGAACATGGAATGTTTCTCCATCTGTTTGTGTCCTCTCTGATTTCGTTGAGCAGTGGTTTGTAGTTCTCCTTGAAGAGGTCTCTTACGTTCCTTGTGAGTTGTATTCCAAGGTATTTTATTCTTTTTGTAGCAATTGCGAATGGCAGTTCGCTCTTGATTTGGCTTTCTTTAAGTCTGTTATTGGTGTAGACGAATGCTTGTGATTTTTGCACATTGATTTTATATCCTGAGACTTTGCTGAAGTTGTTTATCAGTTTCAGGAGTTTTTGGGCTGAGGCGATGGGGTCTTCTAGGTATACTATCATGTCGTCTGCAAATAGAGACAATTTGGCTTCCACCTTTCCTATCTGAATACCCGTTATTTCTTTTTCTTGCCTGATTGCTCTGGCTAGAACTTCCAGTACTATATTGAATAGGAGTGGTGAGAGAGGGCATCCTTGTATAGTACCAGATTTCAAAGGGAATGCTTCCAGTTTTTGCCCATTCAGTATGATATTGGCTGTTGGTTTGTCATAAATAGCTTTTATTACTTTGAGATACGTTCCATCGATACCGAGTTTATTGAGGGTTTTTAGCATAAAGGGCTGTTGAATTTTGTCAAATGCCTTCTCTGCGTCAATTGAGATAATCATGTGGTTTTTGTTTTTGGTTCTGTTTATGTGGTGAATTACGTTGATAGACTTGCGTATGTTGAACCAGCCTTGCATCCCTGGGATGAATCCTACTTGATCATGATGAATAAGTTTTTTGATTTGCTGTTGCAATCAGCTTGCCAATATTTTGTTGAAGATTTTTGCATCTATGTTCATCATGGATATTGGCCTGAAGTTTTCTTTTCTCGTTGGGTGTCTGCCGGGTTTTGGTATCAGGATGATGTTGGTCTCATAAAATGATTTGGGAAGGATTCCCTCTTTTTGGATTGTTTGAAATAGTTTTAGAAGGAATGGTACCAGCTCCTCCTTGTGTGTCTGGTAGAATTCGGCTGTGAACCCATCTGGACCTGGGCTTTTTTTGTGAGGTAGGCTCTTAATTGCTGCCTCAACTTCAGACCTTGTTATTGGTCTATTCATAGTTTCAGCTTCCTCCTGGTTTAGGCTTGGGAGGACACAGGAGTCCAGGAATTTATCCATTTCTTCCAGGTTTACTAGTTTATGTGCATAGAGTTGTTTGTAATATTCTCTGATGATGGTTTGAATTTCTGTGGAATCTGTGGTGATTTCCCCTTTATCATTTTTTATTGCATCTATTTGGTTGTTCTCTCTTTTATTTTTAATCAATCTGGCTAGTGGTCTGTCTATTTTGTTGATCTTTTCAAAAAACCAGCTCTTGGATTTATTGATTTTTTGAAGGGTTTTTCGTGTCTCAATCTCCTTCAGCTCAGCTCTGATCTTAGTAATTTCTTGTCTTCTGCTGGGTTTTGACTTTTTTTGATCTTGCTCCTCTAGCTCTTTCAATTTTGATGATAGGGTGTCAATTTTGGATCTCTCCATTCTCCTCAT